TGTGTGTGTCTGTATGTCTGTGTGTCTGTGTATGTCTATATGTGTGCATGTGGAGGCCTAAGGACAGTCCCAGCTGTTTCAAAGATGCTATCCATAGTATTTATTTAGACAGGATCTCTCTCTGGCCTAGAACTTGCCAAGTGGGCTAGGCTGGCTGGCTAGTGAACTCTAGGGACCCACCTATCCCCATCTCCCATGTGCTGGAGGGATTACAAGTGCATAAAGCTGTGAAAGGTTTTTTTTTTTTTTTTTTAATGTGGTTCTGGGAATTAAACTCAGATCCGCATGGTTGCAAGGCAAACACTTTACAACTGAGCTACCTCCCCAGGCACCTTCTTAGTGACTCCTCTGGGGCAGAGAAAGTGAGGAAATTCTCTGAAATCCTCATGAAAGCGCACCAGGCTGCTGTGGTTTTCAGTGCCCTCACAAAATGAAGTGTTCCAGTGATATGGAAAGCTGTGCCTTTAAGAAATAAGAGCCTGGAGAGGTGGCTCGGTGGTTAAAAGCACATACCTTTTGCAGAGAATCTGGGTTTGGTTCCTAGTACCCACATGGCAGCTAACAACTGTCTATAACTCTAGTTCTAGGGGATCTGATGCCCTCTTCTGGCCTCGAAGGGCACTTTACATATGTGCAGGTCAAACACAGAGAGGAAGAAGGAAGAGGAGGAAGGAGATGATGATGATGATGATGATGATGATGATGATGATGATGATGATAAGCATGCAGGCTCTTCCTTGCTAATGAGACTAAAGCCATTACCAAAGAGCTTCATGAGCATTCTACCAACGCCACCCTTCATTTTATGCCACACAGGAATAACAGCAAGTTTTCCCCTATCCCCCTCCCATGTGAGATGCTGGTGAACTGATCTCAGTCTAGCCTACTGAATTCTGAGAAAATGGGTCTCTGCTTCATAAATGACCCAGTGTGTGTATTCATTAGAGCCATACTCTAGGAAGGATTTAGACAATGACTCTACCCTATGACATGATTACCTCGCCTGATGCCATCACATGGAGGATTAGGATTTCAACAAGCATTGAGTGGGACCTAAAGACTGAGTCCACTGACACTGACTTGCTCACAGCCACAGCAACAGGGAAGAAGCTTTCTCATCTGCAGTCCTGCTTCCCCCAGACCACAGCACACAGAGGGGACTGATCCCCTCAACACTAAAAGACAAAGAAGAGGTACTGGTCTGCCTGCCCTTGGCAAGCCTAGCCAAACTCTCCTGAAAAAAACCCCATGCCTCTGCCTTCCAAAGAGCAGAGAGGCCTATGCAAACCAACTTCCCAATGTTTTGGTTTCCTTCACACCATGATGTCCAGCTAAGCCTTTCAAACTGATTGACAGTTGTGGGTGCCTTACCTCCTGTCCAGCCTGTGAGTCCTCACTGTGGACTGGCTGGTGAACCACAGAAACACTACAATGGGGCAAATATAGGGAAAGAGTTCTGTGCAGCCAGGCTGTGGAATTCCCTACTCCTCATTGGTCTGAAGGACTGTGAGCTGGTTCTTGGGGAGCACTCCCTATAGGGACATGGAGCATAGTCTGTGCCCTTTCAGGGTGTCATCACCACAGCTTACTGAAGTCTCTCCATGTCAGCAGAGCAGGAATGTGTGGACAGCGGGAGAGGGCCGGAAGCACCACACAAACAGGAGGGTCCCCAGCCCCATGCAGGACACAATTGCATTTCTCTGTCAGCACCAGCTGTGGACAGCTCAGACATTTACTGTCAGTCTAGGAAAGTCCCAGAGAGCAGACCACCTGCCTCCTGGCTTCCCAGCATGCTGCCTTAAGTGCAAAGTATAGCTTCTCCACTCTGCAGTTTCACACCTATCCTGCCCTACTATGATAGTCTATTAAACATTATTTATATTGATTTAAAAAAATACTTTTCAGGCCTCTAATCCCAACTCCTTGGGAGGCTGAGGAATGGAGGGTCACCAGTTAACAGCTAGCATGGGTAATTTAGTGAGACCTTGTCTCAAAATTAGGATATATAGATTAGGTAGATATAGATAATATATGGCTGTAGCTGAATGATAGGTGCTTGCCTAGGATGCATGTGGTCTTGGCCTCAATCCCCAGTACAGATCCACCCAAACAAATGAACAACCCATACTTTTTCCTATAGTTTCCATAGGGGAAAAGTTAAAAATCATTTAAATCTTTCAGATTAGAACGTTGACAATCAGTCTTGGGTTAGGTTTGGAAGTAAAAATGTGGATCAAAGTATGATGGTTAAAACTATGATGGTTAGTCATTATATTTATCCCCAAGCTTCCCAGCAGCATCAGCCAAAGGCAGGTATGATCCATTATGTGCTTATATTTTGTTATAAGGTGAAGGAGACTATTTTTCTATTTTGCAGCAAGTTCTGAGAAATACTTTAAATATATAAAACATTTAGCAAGATATCTAATATACATTAATTTATAATAATATAGATATATAATTATAATTGTATTATATATTATATTTATTAAATTATATATATAATTATTTATAATAGTATTAATATATAATGTGTATCTCATAGGCAACAAGGTGGAAAACAGTTTTTCTGGGACCATGGAAGAACCTTTAGGTATCTCATACTATTTCACAATTGACAAAGGTTGGAGGAAAACATGGAAGTTGAACTAGGAGAAAGTAGTTTGCAAAAACTGGGCCAGAACCTTCTGTCTCCTGGAATATTTTAAGCATTTCAATGCCCTGTTCCTCTCTTACCCCACCCTCTCTTCCTCCTGCTCCTACTCTTTACCCCCACCTCTACCTTCTAGCCTTCTTCCTCTCTTTCTGCATTAGCAGTTACTGGCACACATTTGAATCTGAGCATGTTTGGAATTCAGCTGGCTGCAGGCAGACTTGCCCATTGGCAGCCTTTGTCTGGCCCCTGGTGACAGGTTATAAAGGAACTAAAACTTTTAGGGAAACCGAATCTGTCATACTTGCTGCATCTTCTCAGCTGACCCTTCTGTGTCTGATGCCATTTCTGCACCCCAGCCTTATTCCAATGCCGTTGTACAACAGACAGCTTGAACTGTTTTCTCTAAAGGCAATCCCAGAAATCAGTGGCTTCAAACATCAAGTGCTGCTTGGCATAGAGTCCTGCAGTCGGGGTATGGGTCTCTGGGCAGCTTGTCAGATAGCTTGTGTCTGCTCTGCATGAAGTCGTGGGTTCATCTGACTCTTTTGGACCTTAGCATCACTTCACTGGGGTCAGAGGATCTGTGATGGCCTTGCTTCCCTGTCTGGGCCACTCATCCTCTAGGAGGTTAGGTTCAGCTTCTGGGCAGCCAGAATGGGAAAACTGGGGCTTCAGGTCCCCTGAGATTGACAAGGGAGGGTATGAACTCAGCTTGGGGAAGGGGAATTCCTAGTGTGTGTGTGGGACCCTTTGGCAGCAATCCCCACAGCATGCCCTCATCAGTGTCTTGGAACACTGTTCTTGGTGTGTATGAGCTAAGGTATTAACATTGAGCACATGCAAGTTCCTTGCTTCAATATGGAATCCAGAAGTGCCTTACCCATGACTCATCATACCCTGATAGATTTAACCCCGGTGATAGGTAGTTGGCTCAAAAGGAATCCTGCTCAACAGACTGTGAGGAACTCAGGGTTCTTGCTTCCCCTGCTATGAAGCAGAATGATCATGGCCACTGTGTCTACCCAGGCTGAGAACCCCCATCACGGGGGAGGAGGAGAAAGCGCATGGTACATACTAAGCCAGGCACAGTGACAGTGAGTGGTAGCCCACTGCCCCCCATTGTTCCTACAGCACAGTGATTACCGCTGACCTCCCAGAAACATGATCCAGGCAGAGTCTGAACTAAGGTATCTGTCACTGGGGCTTCTCTGATTGGCAGCAGGAGCAATGGAGGGGGCTGGGCAGCAGGAGGCAGCTGAGCCGACAAGAAGCCTGGTTTATTAGTTACTTCTCTCAATGTCTGACCAATACCTGACAAGAAGCAATTTAAGGGGAGAGGAGTTCCCTTCAGCTCATGGTTTGGTAAGACACAGTCAGTCCTTCAAAAACTGTTGTCCAGAGCCCATGAGGTGGCTTGCTATAACACACTGACTTCTGGGCAGTGATGTGGACCCACCCCCCAGTGACCTTCTTCCTCTAGCTAGGTTCCACTTCCCAATGTTCTATGACTTCCATGTGTTGTTCAATGTGGGCTGGTGTGTAACTTAGGGAGAGGAAGAGTCCTAGTGTGATCCAAGAGGCTCAGCTCAGAAATGCAATGCATGTCAGTATCTCAGCCATTGACTGGAGGAAGGAGAGAGGATTCTGGGAAATGCTAAGGTGTGAGTTTGTAAGTGACCCTTGTAATAGAGCCAAGTCTCCAGCAGGACAGGACAGTGAGGGATCAACACCTAAAAGATGTGGTCACCCAGGTGTGGCCCTAGCTAGCTAGCACCTTCATCTGAAATATGTGGCCAGGAAAAAGGCAAAGCAGCAAGTTCTTGCTTAGCCAAGGACAGGGCTATACTACCTGGAGGCAGACAGGGCAGCACCAAATGGACAGCGGTAGGCAAAGGTGGTTTGATGTTATCATTGGCTTCTTGGGGTTCCCCCAAATAATCCCCAGACCAGTGCCACCAGCTGAGGACTAAGTGTCCAAACACATGAGCCTGTAGGGAACACTTTGCATCATATTACAAATTTTAATGGCACAGGCTGGTCAAATCCATAGAAAACTGGGGAAACTGATGAGTTCTCTCAAGCCCCCACCTTCCTGTTGCCTTGCTGTGATGATGAACTGGATAGTGTGTGTAGATCTTGATAAGAGCATGACACTGAGGCTTAATAAACACCATCTTCCTGTTTTCCCCCAAAGCTGAGCTATGTGGCCTGTGAAACCCTAGAGAGTGGAGTGGGGTGCTTTTGCCTCCTGGGAAGGGGTGGTACTTCACTTCAGTACTGTGAATGTTTTGGCTGCTTCTACCCTTTGCTCTTACCCAACTAAGAGGTATTTTCTCACCAACAGAGGAGCTCAAAGAGAAGTTGACTGAATATGTGGACAAGGTGAATGGCCAGAAGCCAGGCTTCATCAAAGTTGTGCGCCACAGCAAGCAGGAAGGACTCATCCGTTCCAGGGTCAGCGGCTGGAGGGCAGCCACAGCCCCTGTGGTGGCACTGTTCGATGCCCATGTGGAGTTCAATGTGGGCTGGTGAGTGCTTCAGTGAGAGGAGGGGTCCCAGTGTGATCCAGTGGGTCTGACTCAGAAGTGCAGTACATTCTGGGATCCTAGTCATGGGTTGGAGGAAAAGGAAAGGGTTGTGGGACAACTAAGATAAGGCTGTGTAAGTAAGCCAAACCTTTCAATAGGACTCGACCTCAAGCAGGAAAAAGAGTTAGGGGTCAGCACCTGAAGGATATGGTAACACCCAATCTGTAGGGTTTTAAATACTCTTTGGAGTCTTACCACATAGCTCCCAAATAAATACACAGAGACTTATTCTTACTTATGAATGCCTGCCCTTAGCTTGGCTTGTTTCTAGCCAGCTTTTCTAACTAAAATTGACCTGTTTCTCTTTAACTATGTTTTTCCTCTAGGCTTTTTTTGCCTTTTTTAAAAAAATTCTATATATCTTTCTTTCCTTCTTACTCCATGGGTGGCTGTGTGGCTGGCCCCTGGCATCCCCCTCCTTTTTTAGTCCTTGCTTTCTTCTCTAGATTTCTCTTCCTATTTATTCCTTCTGCTTGCCAGCCCCACCTGTCCTGTCTCCCCTGCCTTGCTACTGCCCATTCAGTTCTTTATTAGACCAATCAGGTGTTTTAGGCAGGCAAAGTAACACAGCTTTGCAGAGTTAAACAAATGTAACATAAAAGAATGCAGCATGTCTTTGCATCGTTAAACAAATATTCCACAGCATAAACAAATGTAACACAAATTAATATTCCACAACATTGATCAGGAAGACAACTATATACAACTGGCAAAGCAGAGGGATGGCTCAGTAGTTAAGAGCACTTGCTCCTTTTGCAAGGGATCCATATTCAGTTCCCAGCATCCACATGGCAGCTGATACCCATCTGTAGCTCCAGTTCCAGGAGATTCATTGCCCTCTTCTGGCATCGACAGGTACTGTACACATGCCATGCATATACATGCATTCAGGCCAACACTAGTACATATAAAAAAAATTAATCTTAACAACAACAGAAAAATGGAGAGTTTCTGTCCAGTCAAGCATAGGCTTGTGCTTCAGGCAGCTGAATTGGAGCAGGGACAACACAGATGCCTTTCTCACAGACAGAGCAAGAGTGAATGGGCAGAGGTGGGTAAAGGTGGCTTCCTGGACCCTAAAATGTTCTCGGAGCCTCCATCCAAGCAAAACTAAGTCTTATTGAGTCTCCCTTTGTCAAGTCAGACTGGTCAGGTGCTAGATGGGGTAAGAGAACTGACAAGAAGGTGCTGTGGCTGCTTCTGAACCCCCATAGGGCACCTGATACTGATGCCCCTGCAAGGCGAGGACAGTGTGGTGCTGTTCACTGTGCATAACACTAAGGTTGACTGAATAGCTGGGCTACCTAGTTTCCTGTCCTCTTTCTTCCTGTGCTTGATGACCTCAGTGTGTCCACTCCCCTTCCTAGCTCCATGGTGCCACCCTCTGCCTCAGGGGAGCAGGGTGAGGAGGACATGCTGACAGCAAGGAGTGCAGGGCCTACAGGCAGCCTGGGAGGGATGCTGGTATCACAGACCTAAACCAAGCCTGAAGCATAGTCATTTTTTATTCTTGAAGTCCCTGTGTGCTATTTGTGACTATTTAAAAAGCATTTCCACTGGATTTATGGCCAGCCAAGGAGAGGGACACTTACTATTTCAAGCTGATTTGAATGAACAATTATGCACAGAATATATTATTAATGAGAAGTGTATCATTCCTGTCGGCAAACACATTATTCTCCTGCTACCCAGAGGGGCCTGCCAGTTTCTGGGGGAAGCTTGGATGCCCACCCCTCCTGAGGCAAAGGAGAATGTAACTTTGCCTACACCACCCGCCTCTTCCTCCAGATTGGTTTAAGCAAAATCAAAACCCAGGCTGAAAGTTTCCTCTAAAGCCTCAAATCTGTTCCTTCTTTCTTTTTCTTTTTCCTTTCCTTTTTTTAATCTTGATTTTTGTTGTATGTGGGCAGTGGGGAAATAATCGCACAGGCTGGGGGAGACTCAGTTCAGCTCTGGTTGTACTGAAGGGTCCACTGGGCTTCTTGCCAACCCTGAAGTCCTTAGCCCAGGGAGGTCAACTCCAGAGGATGCAGGAAATCACTTCTCTCTGTCTTGAGGGAGCAGGGGTTCCTTCCTCTTGCTGCTGGCAAATGACTATGGTGAGCTGCTCATCTGGCTGTTGCCCACCTTGGCAGCTGTAATTGATCTCTTCTTCCTTCCTGCTCAGGGCGGAACCAGTCCTCACCCGCATCAAGGAAAACCGGAAACGGATCATCTCACCATCTTTTGATAACATCAAATATGACAACTTTGAGATTGAAGAGTACCCACTGGCTGCCCAAGGCTTTGACTGGGAGCTGTGGTGCCGCTACCTGAACCCACCCAAGGCCTGGTGGAAGCTGGAGAATTCTACAGCCCCAATCAGGTATGGAACCCTTTGTCATTGGTCTTCCTTGGCCCTTACACAAGGGCTTCCCTCCCTGCCCAGGCCTGGTGTGGGTGGCAGAGAGAGGGGAAGGTGGACAAGAGTTACAGTGTGATCTTCAGACTCTGCTCACACACTCTCAGGGTCCCTTTTCAAAGAACTAGAGGAGCAATCAAAATGTCAAAGTCTCAAAGGCACTAATCTTTAAAAACAGATTCTTTTTTGTTGTTTTTATTCAGGTGTGTGTGATGTGTGATGTTTGAGTACTTGGGGAGGAGGGGATCAGATTCCCTGGAACTGGCATTACAGGCTGTTATGAGTCAGCTAATGTGAGTAGTGGAAAGTGAACACAGGTCCTCAGGAAGAACAGGAAGTATTAACAGTGGGGCATCTATGACCCCAAAGTTGCTCCTTTTTACACATCGCCATGTGTATCTCCTAGGTATAAAGCACTGTGGTTGATGCTAGAGATTCAGAGTAAGATTTGATTTCCAAGCTCTCCAAGCCTGGAATACAGTGGAGGTGAAACACATCATAGGTTTAATGATAATTCTGCCTCACAGGTAGGAAACATGTAAGGGAAAGGGAAGCATTCGGGCTCATTTTCAAGAGTGGGAAGGAGATAGCTAGGTTGAGAGTGGCACCCATATGAGACACTTATGGTCACAGGGGAGGCTCAGAGAGACCCTAAGGAAGAATGTGAGCTGGGCAGCCCCAGCAATGAGGGCACACCAGACCATGGGACAAGTGTGCCTGATGGTGTCTGAGTTTTATCCTGTGGAATACAGGCACAAATAGACTCCATCAGCATTTCAAAAACCCCACACTCTTTCTGCCTTTGATACTGTATTCCTAGACCCCAGACATACTTCCCTCTGCTGCCTCAGGACTCCCATAATAGTCAGCCCTACTAGCCCTATTTCTGTGTGTTGGTGACAGGGCTGACATCTACTTCCCTCCATTAAACAGACAAATGATACCAGATGATGACTTTTTTTATTCCAAGGGGGCTGCCTTGGAATAAGATACCAGTCTTACATTGTATTGCGAGAGAGAGAGAGAGAGAGAGAGAGAGAGAGAGAGAGAGAGATTATGAAAATATTCATTCAAAAAGTCAATATCACAAACATTATTACTGGAAGAACAAAAATCATACACAAAATTAGATGGAAGACAACTTTCCTGATATTTTGTGACTTTCTCAATCTGTCTTGTGTTGCTATAACAAAATACCAGAGGAAGGATAATTTATGAAGAATGATGTTTATTTAACTCACAGTTAAATAAACCTCCAATACGGAGGTTGAAATTCTGAGACTAAGTGGCCCTACCTGGCCAGCCTCTGGTGAGGCCTTTAGAGTATTAGAACAAGGTTGATGGCATCGCATGTCAGGAGCAAGAAGGAAAAGAGCCACACATGGAGAGGCTAAGTATTGTAAACTGGGCTTGCTTTCAGGTGTTTCTAATGTGTGGCCCTGGGATGTGTGCATCAAAAGATAGGTATTACTGCCACCCAATATGATTGTAGGTGACAGTACCACATCACAATGTGAAAAGGTTGAACATGTCTGTATCAAGAATTAATTTGATCCCCTGAGAACTACACATATTCATTCTCATGCATTTCCTTTCTTTCTGAGAAATTTATATATGTATACAATGTCTTTTCATCAGCTCCACCCCTCAACTCCAGCTCCTCCCAAATGCTGTGGCCATGGTGTCTCTTCATAGCAATAGAAACCCTAACACACACACACACACACACACACACACACACACACACACACACACCCCTCCAAACTTTGTGTCTTCATTGTTTTACCCACTGAGTCCAATTAGTGCTGGCAGTGTGTGCATGAGTGTAGGGCCACCCGCTGAAGCATGAGAACCCTACCAGGAGCTTCATTCCTGATAAAAACTGATTTCCCCTCTACCAATAGCCATCAATGGCAGGTGGGGTGGACCTTTGTATGCCCCTCCTCCATCCCTGATAGAATTTTGACTCACTTGATCTTGTGCTCAGAGCCAACATCTGGGCTCATTTTAAGAACTGTGATGGAAACCTAGTGAGGAGGGCCAGTGCAATCAGCAATGCAAGGCATGAGGCTTGTTGGATGAGATGCTTTCAAAAATTTTTTTTCTTATGGTACTGGGTATCAAGCCTAGGGCCTTTGGCTTGCCATTCAAGTACTCTACCACTTAGCTATATCACCAGTGCTGCTGTCTTTGGAAGGACATGGAGTTTAGTGCTGGTGTCCCCTACCAGTGAGACACCAGCAGGATAGCGTGACAGATGCCTGGAGCTGAGGTCAGCCAGGGTCTCAGGCTGGAGCTACACCACAGGAGTGGCAGGGGTGGGGGCGGAGGCGGGGGTGGGTCACTAGCTTCTTGGTGCAAGGTTTCACAGAGAATTGCTATCATGAGAGAAGTCATCAGGAATGCCAGGGAATGCTTCTGAATTGCATATCATCTGCTGTCCTTCTTGGCCTTCCATGCCATCCGGCCAGGCTGGAGGATTTGGTGGAGGAAAGGAAAGGAGAAACTGAAGAACTCTTAGGAGTGAGAAAACTGTCAGTCACATGAAACTGTACTCATCTTTGGAACTAGAAACAGGTTCAGAAAGGACTATATGCTTAGGGAATGAATGCTGATGCAGGGGGACGCTTAGCCAGATGGATTCCTGGGGTCACATCACCAGACTGTTCTATATGACTTCACTTCCACAGACTGCAGACTGCAGGGTATCGCACATGTGTGTTCTTAGACACTCTGCTCTGATGGAGAACAATAAATCTGTATACAAGAGATGAGCATTATGGGAATGACCACCCTCTGGCTGTGCATCTTGAGCAGCTCCACAGCCTCTCTGAGCCTCTGTAACATCTGATCAGTGATGACCTCTGTCCCTCTCACTACATCTCTTTCCAAATTCTTCTGTGTGTTTACCACCTTTGCTGGGCACAGATACAGATTCCCACTGTTTTTTTTTTTTTTTCCCCACCCTCATCTCCTCTAGCCGGCTACTCCATAATGTCCCCTCATATCAGCCAGGCTGACTTGAAACTCTGAAGGTGGCTAATAATGGCCTAGCACTCCTGATCCTCCTGCCTCTGAGTTCGGGGATCACAGGCATATGCTACCATGCCTAGTTTATAAAATGCTAGGGATCAAACTCAGACATGTATGCTGGGTGGCACTCCACTAACAGAGTAACAGTCCCGCCTGGCTGAGTATTTTTTATTTAAAAAAAAAGAAAAGCATACGCATTCATAATGTTGTTCTGCTTGAAATTTGCCTTTACCTATAGATAAAATCTACAAACTTTTTCTATGCTACTCAAAGCCTTCTATAACCTGGTTCTCACCAATCTTTCTAACTGAACAGAGGTTGACATTGGGGATGATGGGAAAGTCCAACCAGAAGCAATCTGGCCATGTGGCTCAAATTACAAAGAAGCAATCTGTATCAACAGAGTGAATGGCATACAAACTCCCCACCGCTAATGCACCAGCTAGCATAGTGGGGAACAATGGCTGGTCCCAGCACAAGAGCTGTCCCTACTGTCTTAACCAGCTTCCTTGGAATGGCTGAATGGATGAAGGTGAATCTAGGAGACTACCCAGGGAATGAGGCCCCACTGGATCTGGCAGCAGATTTGGGGCATTGATCCTTTCAGTTGGGAATTCTTTATCCTCAAGTGACTCTCAGACCAGCCTCTGCTCATAGCTGGCCATCTGTCTCACCCTGCAGGAGCCCCGCCCTCATTGGCTGTTTCATTGTGGACCGACAGTACTTCCAGGAGATCGGCCTGCTGGACGAAGGCATGGAGGTCTATGGAGGCGAGAATGTGGAGCTTGGGATCAGGGTGAGTGGAGTGTCTCCCACAGGGCTGAGCTCAGTTCCCATGAGGGTAGTGAGTGAGACTAGTGGTGTGGTGTGGATGATTTTTTAGTTCATGATACAAAGGGGGCTAAAAGTTAAGAGTCACACACTGACTCAGAATGTCTAGTTCCTAGCCCTGGTACATGTAGATAGAGCCAGGGATTCTCAGAGCAGAGCCTGTTGGATTGTCAGGAAAAAGAGGCCTTCAGAGCTTGTTTGCCTAGAGAATTAGGCTCCCAGTTTAGCACTTTTGTTAAGACTAAACAAATCTGTTGGGATAAGCAACAGTAGGCATCAAGGGGCAGCTGGACAAGAGAGACTCTCAGAGTCACTTCTCCATGGCTGTCTTCTCCATAGTGGACCATAGAATGTTCCCAAAGATGGTTATAAGGGGTCTAACAAGAAATAAACTCCTGGGTATAAACAGCAAACCACAGCCACACTCACTCCATGCTGCTTTCTGACCCTGTGCAGTGCTAGGCAGACCCACGGGCTATCCTGCACCTCATGGTGTGACTCTGTGAAAGGTGCCATTTTCTTTCTTACCCTACAAGAACATTGACTAAGTTTCCTGGTTCCTTCCACTTGGCTTGTGGAAAAGAAAAAAAACCCAGGATGATCTCCTCCCCGATCAGGAAGGTATATTAGGTGTCCTGGTGTTTGGTAGAAATGTGGTGATGGCTATCATGAAGGATTATCTGTGTCTAGGAATTACCCCTGACAAACCCATGGCTTGAGCCTTGGCATGTTCCCATAATGGCTCCAACTCTCTTTAATAATGCATCACCCACATAGCATAAGTTTGCCAACCTTAGAGAGGACCTTTTACCTCCTGGTGTCTTTTCTTATAAAAATTTCCTTCTCACAGCCAGCCCATTCTTACCTCATGCAAACCTCTTCCAAAATCTGGTCCAGTTGACCATCTTTGTCACTTTGAACATAGTATGTGTATCTGTTGTTTCTAGGTCTAGACCTTTAGCTCCCACTTAAGAATCTACTTTCCTCTTACCTTTAATCTCCTCATATTCCCACTCCACAGAGTAAGCAACTGGCCCTGGACAACCCTCTCCTTAACCCTTGCAAGGAGGACCAGATTCTGACAGGGAGCATCCCATAACACCTGAAGGACCTAACAGTCTGGGGCTCAATTCATCCCAGACTTAATACTAGGCTTTGAGGACTGGCTGAAGGAATAGCCTTATGAAGCTGAGCTTGGAAAATACTTCAGACACCTGTATTCACTGGCACTCCAAGCAATTGCTTTAGAGGCAGTGGGAATGCACAGGCTGATGGGGAGCTAATGTATTCATAGAGGACAGCGCCTGCATAATCACCCTCATTTCTCCAGCTTTCCCTCCACTGGTCATTTATTCACCACCCGCTGGCGTCCTCACCATCTCATTTCAGCCCTGCTCTTGGATAAATGCTTGCCCCCAAACACAATCTGTTTCACCAGGAGCAGCTGTCAGGAATTGGCTGAGCGGGCAGCACCGCCTCCGGTCACTTGTGTTCTCTGGGTAAAAATGTCCAGAAATGGGGAAAGGAATTAGATTTGTGAACTCTGCTTCCAACGTATGTGTGAGTCAATCACAGAGTGGTGGTGATGTCTGGCTTTCCTTCCTTAAATTATAAAGCTATTTTAGAGTATGGGCCTGGGTGAGGCTCTTGAATATGTGTTAAAATATCTTTGGGTAGTTTCGTGTTCAGGGTTTCAAATAAAGTATAAAACATCTTCAGGTTTTGTTTTCCCTCCATCTCTTCCCTCCCACTGGACAGAGATGAAGCATCATTGATGGCAAAGGAAAAGGAGGCTTTTAAAGCAGGGCCCAGCCCCTGTAAGGTGGCGGAACTAAGTACTCAGGGAGGAACCAGTTCATTTGTATTCTGGTTCCTCCTTGAGGGGGTGCAGAATCTCTGATCATTTTCCATTGGGATAACCTTCTATGTGTGGCTATTGCTATCTATTTTTCTTTTGTGCTTTATGAGCTAAGATCTCAGTGCCTCAGTTTCCTTCCTGAGAATATCATATTTCTAATAACCCCTCAGGATTTTGTGCCAAAGTGAAAGCCATTGCTCATCACACCTACCTTATGCAGTAGCAACTTGTGCAAAAGCCCTTACCTATTTTGGAACATGAAAATAGAAAATATTTTTTCACATATTGAACACCTGCTGTATGTTTAGAATCTTGTTAGGCATTCTTTTTTTTTCTTTTTCCATGTTCTATGTGTATATGTGTGTGGGGGGGGATATGTGTGTGTGCATGCACACATGAGCTCCTGCATGTGGAAGCTCCAAGGTTGATGTCTGGACTCATCCTCCATCTCTCTCCCATTGAATTCAATGATGTCTAGAATCATCCTCTGTCTTTCCCACTGAATTCAGTCAGGTGGAGGTGGGGGCTCTCAATCAAACCTAGCACTCACATAGGGCTTGTCTGCCTAGCCAACCTGTTCTGGGGATCTAGTCTCAGCCTTCTGGGGGTAGAACTACAGGCGTCCCACTACAGCAACATTCACATGGGCTCTGGGGGTCTGAACTCTGATCTTCATGCCGGTATGCTAAGCATTTGTGTAGCTGAGCCCTATTCCTAACCCCAGGGCATTTAAAAAATGATATCCATCCACAGAATACCCCAAAGTAGAACTTCTTATGACATCCCTCTTTATCAGTTGAGGAAACAGAAATTATGACCTTGTACATGCTCCCAGGTCATGACATTTGTAAAATACAGAGAGGACTCAAGTCCAGGTTGTGATGGCTCAGTAGATACACCACAGTGATCAAGTCCAGGACCTGACTCCTTTGAGACCCCTTCCCCAAGAAGTATTACAATGTTTGTGCTTTCTTTCTCCTTTAGACTCCGCCTTTCATGTTGGGTCTCCCTTTAAAGCCTTTCTCTTATTTTATACTCAATTCTAGGTAAGTTCTCTGCCCCATCCCTGATTTCTGAGTCTACAAGACAGTGAGGAAGGAGAGACCCATTGTAGCAGGATGAACAAGTAAGAAATAAGAGCAGAGATGAACAGAAGACTGAAAAGTTGTATACTTTGTGGCTCAGAAAGTTTAAGGACATAAAAAATGTGTCTTGGAGCTGGCAAGGACTTAGTAAATTGGTAGAAACTAGTATGGGCTGAATTGAATCCCTTCACAAAATGTCCAGAAATCTTAATTTCTTACCTAGGAATGTAACATTATGTGCAAATAGTCTTCACATGTGTAATCAGGCTAGACTGAAGTCACACTGGATACTAATCTAAAGTGTCCTTTTAAGAAGAAAATTTGGACAAAGATGAACAGGGAAGAACACAGCCATGTGAAGCTAGAGGCAGAGGTTGCAGTTGGGATACCACAGGCCAAGGAATTCTTAAGGCTGGAAGAGGTAGACAGGACTCTTCCCTAGAGGCTTTGAGGGAATGTGGCCCTTGAGCATCACACCTTGATTGGGGCTTCTAGAACCCACAACTGTGGGTAAATACATTTCTTTTAATTTAGCAATCTCACATGGTAGTTCATTAGAGTGATCCAAAAAACTCAGAGACAAAAAAATTCAGAGGAGTACATGATATCTGAGGAACATGGTGACATTTAAATGTCCTTTCTCTCAACTGTGTACAATGAGCTTGCTTCACCTCCCATGGAGCTGGGATCTCAAAGGCCTGTTTCCTCAATATAAAGTATAAATCATTTGTGGGGGAAAAAATCTTAACCAGGCTACAAAATGTCCACAGCTAGAGGTCCATGGAACAAAAGATGACAGGTTTTTAACATCATAGAAAACATAAGAGGGGGGAAAAGCATAAAGAGTAGATACTGCAAAAGCAACAGACACATTAGATCTTAAGAGTCTTCAGGGGCTGGAGAGATGGCTCAGAGGTTAAGAGCACAGGCTGTTCTTCCAGAGGTCCTGAGTTCAATTCCCAGCAGCCACATGGTGGCTCACAACCATCTGTAATGAGATCTGGTGCCCTCTTTTGGCCTGTAGGCATACATACATACAGAACACTGTACACAAAATAAATAAATAAATCTTTTTTTAAAAGCCTTCAAAGTATTGAATCAGACAAAGGATGGAAAATATGTTGTATAATGATCAGTTTATTCATTGTGTGCATATGTGTTTGTATGTGGGTGAGAGTGTGTCATATAGATGTGGTGTATGTGCACCTGTGGGTAGGTGTCTGCGCCTGTGCACATGTGTGGAGGATGTCTGATGACCTACTCTATTACTCTCCTTATTCTCTTGAGGCCACGCTTTTGTGGGTGCTGAGATCTGAACTTGGGTCTTCAACCTTGTGTAACAAGTGCACTGAGCTGTTTCTCCAGTCCCTAAAAATTTATATTGTAAATTCTTCCAAAGAAAATTAAAAATATGAATAAGAAGTGGCTTTGCAAGTAATTTATGTTTAGTTTTTTTGTCATGACAGTAGAACTTCTGTGAAAAACAACTTAAAGGAGGAGATATTTCATGTTGGCTCGTGGTTTCAGAAGTTTTAATCCATCGTTTCTTGGCTCCATTGTTCCTCATCCTGGAATGAGGCACAATATCATGGCACTGAGGATATGGTGAAGCAGGGAGACTGTAGTAGTTACATTATTTTTGCTATTACAAGAAGCAATGTAAAGGATTTATTGCAGCATGTGGATGCATTTGATCATGAAGGGGAAGCTGTGTTGAGGCAGCTGGTCACACTGCATGCATAGTCAGTGCCTTAGGGTTTTATTGCTAGAAAAGAGACACCATGGCCAAAGCAACTCCTATGAAGGAAATGTTTAATTGGGCTGGCTTAAAGTTTCAGAGGTCTAGTCCATTATCATCATGGCTGGGAGCATGCTGGTATGCAGGCAGATATGATGCTTGAGAAGGAGCAGAGACTTCAATATCTTGATCTGCAGGCAGCAGAAGCAACTATGTGCCACACTGGGTGTAGCTTGAGCATGGGAGACCTCAAAGCCTGCCTCCACAGTGACACACTTTCTCTA